CCCCCCCCCCCCCCGCCAAAATAAATAAATAAATAAACTTAAAAAAAGTAAGTGAATTTAATATTTTATATTTTTTTTATAAGAAAACAGAATCTTATTTTTCCTGTGTGTGGGTGGTTTCTCCCTTAATCTCAGCGATAATTTTATAAATCGCCCTGTGCTGGCATTACCAGCAGTCCCCACGCACCTTGTGACTGAATTGAACGCAGGACAAAACCAAGTGGCAAACCCTCTATGCCTCTAATTAACACAAATAAAAATGTCCTTTTCCTTATTTCTTCAACACTTTTTCCCCTCAGAAGATTTCCCGTCTCTTGTTTTTCTTTTTTGTTTTTTATTTTATTTTATATTTATATTTTGGTAGATTTTCTGAGCTGTTCGTCGTAATGAAAAGCAGTGCTATCGCCAGTCCAATTTCCTGTTTCCTCTGTATCTCCTCTTGGCTGATAAACGGCAATGTGTGTTTTTACCGTAGGAGCGCAGAGTAGCCGCTCTCCAAGAACTCGTTCGACTCCTGAGACCTGGCGGGAAGGCACTCGTTTATGTCTGGGCAATGGAACAAGAATATAATAAGAAGAAATCCAAGTATCTTAGAGAAAACAGAATGAGCCAGGGGAAGGAGGAGGAGGTCAGCAGCGATACGCCAGGCCCAGAGTTGCTTGTGGAGCAAGTGCCTGACACAGGCCATAAGGAGCCAGCATGTCGAATGCCCTCCATCAGTGACTTCCAGGAGGGAGGGCGGAATTCAAGGGAAGTTACTCATTCCAAGCTCCCCGTTCACACTAATAGGACTTCTTTTCATTCTCAAGACGTACTGGTTCCCTGGCACCTTAAGGGCAACCCTGGGAAAGACAGACCTGCTGAGCCGTTTGGTCCGGGAGGATCCCATGACCCAAGTCCTGTGTTTCATCGTTTCTACCACGTGTTCCGTGAGGGGGAGCTGGAAGCCGCCTGCCAGACTCTGAGTGACGTCCGCGTCCTGCGAAGCTACTACGATCAGGGGAACTGGTGTGTGATTCTTGAGAAGGTCTGACGTCTCTGAACATACACACCGGAAAGAAAGGCTCAGCTTTATTTTTTATTTTTTTTAAATTTTTTTTTTTTTTTTC